GTCAAAAGTTTGTCCACGCTTGGACTAAAGTCTATTGACAGACGACACTGATGGAAATGATGTCACTGTTACTGTTATGGAGGGAAGTGGGAAGGTTGTCCATGTGTGAAATCTGTTTGTAAAGTCCTCTGTGTGTGTGTGTGTGTGTGTGTGTGTGTGTGTGTGTGATGTTAAAGTGGCTCTGATAAAGTGGCTCCTGTGTTGTAGACAGTGATCTTCTCTGGTCTCTCAGTCACTTCACTCCTCTCTGTAGTCCAACTCTCTGGTCCAGACAAACACACAGCCTCTTACATTTGTTTTAAAAGATTAAAATAGAATTGGTTTTGAATCTGTCGTCTGTCTGGTTACAAAGACGTTCGATGAATCTAACATCAAACCACATTTTATTTTATGTCCGGAATCCTTATACATCATTTCTTTGTGTGTTTATGACTAAAACATGTTTTTTCCATTGTTATTAACACTAATAAGGGAGTTTTCTTAGAGAGTAGGAACCTGTACATTTTTTTCTGTTATTTGATATGAAAAACATGATTGGAGTCACGAGCTCGGTCCTGGAGCGGATTATTCTCCTATCTGGAGGTTCCCCTGTAGTCGTTGAGTGCCGACCGATTTACCGTCCCGTGGTAACGGCAGAAGACGGAGGAGAGCGCTCTCTCTTGCTTCGTTCGCAGTCATGTGACTGCAGTTGTTTTGCTCAGAACGAAGGAGAAGATGATGACTGTGAGGACCCCTGCTGGTTCCTGCTCAGCCTCCCTCAGCAGAACCTGTCACTGTCTGTGGCTCCATCCGCAGATCAGATGAGACTCTACGGGTGGAGGTCAGAGGGCTCAACACCCTGCTCACAGCCCTGATGAGGATGAGGATGAAGATGATGATGATGAAGATGCAGCAGGCAGATCTGAGAGCAGACGTTCTTCACTCTGACCTTCACTGTGAAGCAGCAGGAACAGAGAAGACAAATTCAAAGCTCGCTGACGGGACAGAGGAAAATGCTCTGCATAAGCATCTTAACTTTCTCCTTCTTCTACCTCCTCATGTGAGACGGGCAGCAGGTGACGGAGGGAAGAAGATCTGAGCTGGAACTCACAGAGGCGTCTGAAGATCTGACAGTTGGAACCAGCTCTCTACAAACCGCCCAGTCATTTGTCCTTCAGCGGAGGACAAATGACTGGGCGGAACTACCATACCAAGAGCGGCCTCCAGTGTTCGAAACAGGTACTGAACTCTGCTGAAGCTGGGTCCAAACTCTGGCTCAAGGTTTGAGGGTGGTACAATTACAAGAGAGGTGAACGAAAATAATCCTCTGGTGGTTCAGTTGCTGTTATGGACTGTTTACTGACTGTTTACTGACTGTTTACTGACTGTTTACTGACTGTTTCCGGACTGTTTACTGACTGTTTGCTGACTGTTTGCTAGTTGTTTGCTGACTGTTTACTGGCTGTTTCCGGACTGTTTACTGACTGTTTACATTTAACGACACAAACATCACTTGCAGCCCAGTTGTGGTGACACAAACATCACTTGCAGCCCAGTTGTTGTGGTTGCTGCTGAGCTGCTTGAATGATACCGTATCCAGCCCACAGGCCTGGGGTTTGACACACGCTGTAGTACATGAATGTGTTCAGTCCAGAGTCGGTTCATCGTCGCCTCCTATCAAGTCTAAAATGACGGTGTTCTTCCTGTGCTTATTCAGATGACATACGTGTGGAGAAAATCCATCCTGATGTTTGTGTCTCCGGCTCCGACCACATCCACGCAGCAGCTGACGGGGAAGCTGAGGCAGTTGCTTAGTAACGGCGTACCGACCAAGTGATGAAAAATTTAGACTCGTGATTCCTGGAAGTGTTGTGTGGATGCAGAACATGAGAAATAGATGAGACAATGACGAGAAGATGAGGAGTGAACGAAGGAGCGGCAGGAGCATCGCACACAGAAGGAGGTGGGAAAAAAAACAACGTTCAATGTTCAGAAGATTCCAGAGGGTCTGGATGTTCCTCAGCTGATGTTTGACAGAGCTGCGATCACACGCTGCTGCTGCTGGTGCTGGCGCCGCTGCTGATGGGGGGGGGGGGGGGT